GAAGTATCAGATTAGATGCGGGACAAGCTCCAAGGATTCCCTTCTCATTTGTTCTAGGAGGAACCTTTGAGGGAATGGATTCCTTAGGTGAAAGGTTTACCTTGAGTTGTGACTTAGATTTCTGATGCGATTCAGATTTTCTAGTCCCTAAAGAGGAAGAAGTTTTACAAGTTGAAGGAATAAACTTAGATCTATTTGTCTTGTTAGACTTCTTAGGAAGGGATGTTATGACAGTGGATTTACCTTTGTCTTTACATCAAGAACTCAACGGAGTTCCTTCAAGATGACTCTCAGTAAAGGAAGAGGACTGAGAGGAAGAAGTGTTGGGAATAAAAGAGACAAAAGTACCAAATTTAAGCATGGACTTGTCTTTAACACATTCTTCATGATCATAGGAGAATCCTAGACCAGTCGTTTTCTTGGCGGGGATCTGAGCGTTAATGATCTCAGAGGCTTTGAGAGAAGCTTTACACCATCCTTCAATGGTAGCTTTCTCAGCCTTGATTTCAACGATTGCTCGCTCACACTCAGCGACAGCTTTCTCACGTTCAACGGTGATGGCCTGGTTTACAATAACCTGATCCTTAAGATTTTCCTCAACAGAGGTCAGTTCTTTGATCTTAGAATGACAAATCTTTAATTGCTCATGAAGCTCAATGTTAAGCATTTCAACTTTAGATTTGCCATTGAGGGCATTGTAAAGGTCAATCATCAGCGTATCCAGTGCAGAAAGACTAGAAGARGGTTCATTCAGGGTACATACCTGAGTAACAGAAGATGGCTCCGAAGAGGTAGATGCTTTAGAAGAACCTTCGTCAGCATCAATAGCCATMAAGCARACATAAGCTTTATCTTCCTCGTCAGAAGATGATTCATCAGATGATTCAGCCCAGTCATGCTCTTCAGCAATAAGGCCTTTAGCCTTTCACAGGTTGTTCTTCATCTTCTTATATTTCTCCTTCTGTTTTAAGTATTTATCATCTGTGGTCTTGAAGGAGGAAGGATCTTTAGAAGATGGCATCGCAATCTTCTTGGATCTGCATTCACCTACAAAATGTACGGGCCGATGATAGTTGTAGCAAACAACTGAAGCCTTGTCTATTCTTTCAGACATTGGCTTCTCCCTTAGGGATAGCTGAGGAGATCTGCGGAATTTGTTCTTGTTGGCAAACCTCCTAAAAGACTTAGTTAGGAGTGCCAGGGACTCAACAAAATTTGATAAATCAGATTCCGGAATGTCCTCAGAAGAGTCAATCTCCGTGATGACCACTGGAGGTAGAGAAGAAACAAAAGGAGTAGAAATTTCAACTTAAGGGGATTCAGAGATCAAAGCTAAAGGAGAGCTTTGCATTTCCCTGGAATCTTTTACAAGATTTCTTTTCAGTTGACGAGATTGCTCATGGTTAAGCAGATCCCATATAAAGACGAAAGAGAAAGAGAGGACATGTCATTTGACATCTTGAGACACATGGAAAAGGTGTCCCAAGACTCAGGAAGACATTCTAGAAACTTA